GAACACCGCGTTTATTTAAAGAGAATAGTAGTCCATTGAGTACAGAAGGAGAACAGTGAAACTGAGACCGAGGGTTGAAATAAAAACCACTTCTTCTCAGATTCACACTGGAGCCATGCAGCGATAGAAAGCGGCAGCTCCGTGTCATGGAGGCAGCCATGTTGGAAAATGTGTGCCAGAGAGACCGGAAGTGCAGATAGCGTAACTGTGACGCTGAGCGCCATCTAGTATACTGGTTTTAAATAAATTATATATAGCGTAAAACTAATATAGTTGAGAGTAAAATATGGAAATATTAAACGTGGACAATATTTAAAATTTGTGTATGTCATGTGCTGTCTTTGAACCGAAGATTAAAAACTGAGCTTCCGTTCTCAGAACCACTAGATGGCAGCTCTACTTTTCAAATATCACTGAAGTGATGGTGAAGGTCAAATGTTTAGTATTTTTCATCAGGCAAATACTGATAATCTAATCATAATATTTAATAATTATTTCTTTGTGTTTTAGCCTCAAATAGAATAATTCAAATGTACTACCCAATCACAGGCTGTTTATTTCTTTGTTTTAATTTTTAGTCACTAAAAATGCAATGTATTTTCCCATTAAACTACAAATCAAAGCCATATTTGAAAATTATTTATTTTGACATTCATCCAATGTCAACTCATTCCATTGTTTTCAAAGACTAGATATACATTCATTAAACATTTACAATATTATTATTATCATCATTAAGCCACAGTACACATTCCCAACACATCCATTGACAGTCTCCATTGTCTCTTTGCAGGACACTACATCCATAAAAACAAACTCCATTAAATCAGGGGGGGCGGGGGGGGGGGGTCTAAGTTATAATCATCATGACTGCTGCCCCATGAAAACTGTTTGCTGTTTGTTTTGTAAAAATAAAAATGGTCAAAACTACTACTGATAGAATTTTGTGGTGTAAGGCAGTGCACCATAGTTGTATAAGGATAAGTTAGAACAGTACTATTCTCCGTCCTGAGCTAGTTTAACAACGGAAGACTATGGTTCCCTGATACAAGTTAAATATCCCTTGTCAATGCAACACAAAACACATACTGTATTTACACAACTTTTCCTAAAGGGCCTGTTTTTACAATTTCAACCACTGTGTTTAGATCGCAAAACCATGTTGTCCTTATTAAAGTGAATCCCACACTTTTCCTGTTTGAACCAGACTTAGGAGCATTTTAAGCGGCTGTAGATACGAGACATTTCCCTAAGCCTTCTGTGACATCAGTTCACATTAATGTGGCTCGTGTGTCACTGAGAGCAGAGTCCTAAATATACCGAGTGTGTGTGCATCCAAGCACACGTCAATTCTTTTTTTTTGAATCTCTAAAGTTATATGGCATGGTCACATGCTAAGGCACAAACTGTTCCTGGAGAAGAAAAATCCCAGTCCCAGTAAAAGCTTCATAAGGGACTGAAACCATAAAGAATAATACAGTGTATTAAGCAAAAGGGAGCGCTTTAAGTGTAAGAAAACCTACACCAAATAACACAATACAACATAGCAGCAAGTGGTGAGAGAAACATTTAAAAAGTGACATAATAGGTTTTTTAAAAAGGATATACTGCATTTTCATTACTGCATCATTTGTACTGTGATCACGTGTTAGGTGGTGGCAAAATGTTTTGTTTTTTTAACATACAGGCAACAACTGAAAAGATCTGCTGATGAGGATAAAAAGAATACAAACGCACATATTAACTTCCCAAATGTATTCTTCTATGTGCAACCTGAGAACCAAGTATAAAAAGCGTATCCAAGTATTGCAAGATCAGTGCTGAATTGTAGCCCAGGCATTTGAAAAACGACAAATGTTCTTTGTCAGTCCGAGGTCAGAAAGGTTTTGCAGCCTAGTTGTTACGTAAAGTTGCCGTAGCCCTACACACCTCTGCATGCCTTCAGATGAAAACACCAGAGCCGAAGTCAGCTGTACAGCTGAAACAAATTGAATGCATACGATATCACACATGGATAGACCTCGACAAAAGGAATGTCCCTAAAGGGATTAGAACTTTGCATGTTCTGATGAGCCGTCGCTCCGTTCTCCTAAAATCTATTTACAGTGTACCCTTAAGATGCGTCATTTCACATAAACAATAGTCTGATTTCGATGCTCACATATACTTTAGTATAAAAATATCATCTATTTCAATCAAAAATCACAATTGCTTGTCATTAAAGTAAATACAGTACGTGCCTACTTTTACTGTAAAATTTTAACACATTCAAAAATAATTTTCTACACAGAGGAATACAAAAGTTAATCATTTTTACTATCTTGTATACTTGGGGAGGTGAAAGCTTGGGGCAAGCAGTCAGCGGTGATTGTTTCACCTGTGGTATGTACACTGACCTGTAACATACACCAGGTCCATCTCTAAGCCCACGATGATTGTAGGAGATTTTGATGTGTGTTATAAGGTGAGGGATCGGGGGAGAAAAGTTCATAAACACTTAATTTTATC